ACTTTGCCCGAATTGACAGATTGAATTTTGCACGAGAACACTAGGCTTGCATAATACAGAATTGGAGTGGTCTATTGGTTTTCGACGAATCAAGTTTCTATCTTACAGGCTCAGACAAACGTGTAAGAGTGTGGCGACGTCCAGAAAAGAGCTATTCAAGCATGTGTTGCCGAGTGAGTTCCATTTGGTAGGGTTAGTTATAGAATGAGGATGCATATCGTTTGATGCTAGCATGGAATTGGGACATTGATTGCACAAAGGTACCTGACACAGATTCGTAAAGACAATATTTTACCATTTATGGTTATTTTGGGAGACGACGCAATATTTATGCTTGATAGTGCAAGTCCCAACACTGCTGTGATAGTTACTGATTATCTTGACAAGGTTCAATTCACACGATTTGTTTGGCCTGCTTGTAGTCTAGTTATCAATCCCATAGAACATGTTAGGGATGAGATGAAGAGACGTTTACGGAGTTATCTGCAGCCCCTAGAAATTCTAGAGAGCTTTATGACATATTGCTGCAGAAATAAAACAGTTTTCCGCAGAATGTGATTCAAAACCTGATCCAAGGCAAGCCCCGTCATTTAAAAGCTTTTATCACTTCCAGACAAGGGTATATTAGCTACTGAAATTCTTAAAATTTATTTTGTTTCAACAAAAACCACATCAAATTTAAATTGTTGCTTTTCAATATTAAGTATATCAAAGGATTTTTATTACTTTCAATAAACTTTGAAGAAAAAATCGTTTTTTTTTTTAAGTAATCCGTTAGTAAACTTTGTTACAACATAGAAAATACACTTGAGTGCAAAAAAATCAACTCAAAAGCAATATTTGAGATTACACCTTTTGTTTCAATGTAAAAAGTATGAAAATAATAAAATATAATGTGCAAACAATAACTATATTATTGAACTTAGAAAAACTGCTATTGTATTATTTAGAAGACGCATTATAAAAACAATATGCAATACAAACAGAGTTTCCTAAATATTCATCATTGGAACTAATGCAAGAAAGACGTTATGAAGAGAGAAATCATCAGTTACAACATGAATTTCTTAATTATTCAGTATTTGGTATTACCAAAAAATGTAGTTAAAAAAGAATAGAAAAGAAAAAAGAAAATAGTTAAAAATCTCATTTAGAGCGTTTTCGTATTTTTCTTATCTTTCGACTCTTTCTCTTTGCTTCTAAACGCCCTTTTTTCTTTTCGTCTAAGATTTTCATAGTCTTCCAGGTTTGATCTCGTTCTGCGCTGCTAAAGTCTCTTATATGCTTTATTTTTCTGTTGGTTAAGGGATTTACATTCTTTGTCAAACCAATATTTGTTTATTTTAGCCTTTTTAGCCTGGTTATGTTTTAAAAAGCCTTTAGCCGCTGTATGGATAGCTTTATTGCATTTGCTCCAGTAATACTTCAATTTTCGTCAATTCTTGTCAGCTCTTCATTTAAAATTTTTCTGTAGTTATCCCTAGCGTCTTCAGATTTTATCACTTTGCACTTGTGCTCTGGCCCTTCTTAGCGTTTGATATACGAGCCCTAAGTTTTCTTCTTACAAGATAGTGGTCAGAGTTTATATTAGCACCTCTACATGCTCTTAGATCTAGTACGTCAGAGATGGGAAAAACATGTACTTACTACCACCATTCTCAATGATGCTGCGAGTTCAATCAAGTGTAAACCATTTTGGTTAGAGGCAGTATGAAGACTATGCTCACCGATTATGGATTGGTAAATAGTCTCTTGGTCGACTTTAGGGTTAAAATCACCAATAATAATTTTTATGTCGTTGTTTTAACATTGTCTGTTAATGCTTTCCAGTTTCTCGTAAAATATGTCCTTCTCCTCGTCTTCGTTATCTTGAGTGGAAGCATGGATATTGATAATGCTGTAGTATATTCAATATCTGTACATACTTTTGTTTATATACCTACCTATTATTGGACTACCCAGTACCTATTGTTTAAAAAAATGCTCAGTAGCAGCCTTGGGTGAGAAAAGTGCGACCTTGTCTAAATCTCAAAATGCTTATTATGATTAATCCTCCCCAAGAAAAATTCTTAAAAAAAATGTTTGATATAATCATAACAAATTGGTCGGCCAGGCTAAGATATACTTACATTAAAAGTTAAAAACAAAAAAATTGATTTACTACTTACTTCGTTTCTGGCTGCATGGACTAATCTCAAACTCAAAAAAAAATACCTATTTTGTGTATCTTTTGTGATATTCAGTTTAAATATTTTGTGATTTGAAATGTAAATCATACCTTAATATCTCAATCCCTTTTTGTAAAATATTTGGAACAAATTTTAATTCGGGTTCTGGCAATCTAAAAAATATTATTGCTCTAATTTTCATTTCTCTTCGATACTTCTTTGCTGAAAAATGCAAACCACTATATATTTAGATTTAATGACACAAAAGATATACAAAATATTTAAACTTACTTGAACTAACAAAATCTGAATTTATAAAGTGAGAACTTTCCAATTGTTGTGGTTAGCTCACCATGCACCTTAACAGGGCAAATATCAAAAAAGTATAATAGGTAGGCACAACATTTTTCAAATTATGGCGGGAGAGTTAAAATGGAAAAATTCGAATGTGCTGACATATTTTTAGGCGTAAATTAAAACATGTTCTTTAAGGCGGCGTTCACACTCGGGCGATATCCGACAAGCAACATTTTATCGCCACAATATCTTCTTCTTCTTCTTCAGGTGCCATCTCCGCTACGGAGGTTGGCAATCATCATAGCTATCTTAATTTTTGAGGCAGTAGCTCTAAATAGTTGTTTTGAGCTGCATCCAAACCATTCTCTCAGGTTCTTCAGCCATGAAATTCGTCTTCTTCCGATGCTTCTTCTGCCATCTATTTTTCCTTGCATTATGAGTCGCAGGATGCCATACTTATCGCCCCGCATCACATGTCCGAGATACTGTAGCTTTCTTTCTTTAATTGTAAGTTCAATTTCCTTCTCTTTGCCTATTCTTCTCAGTATTTCATTGTTTACATTGCCACAATATAGAAAGGTTCAAAGAGAACGGACGATAAATCGTTGCGACAGTGCGATGATGGTGGAAGCACAATTCTCTTCAGTTACAGTTATGAGCTCAAGTGAGAAAGACGTTGTAGTGGCTTATTGGTTTAGGCGTAGAATGAGAAGAAAAGAAAATACTGGGTACATCCTTACGATCTTATCAACGTGCACCATAGCTCGCCTGTTGTTTCCAGAGAGCTGTCTCAACACGAATCGAAGTTCAAAGAATTTTATCGAATGAAACCTGAAAATTTTCATTTTCTGAAATCTTAGTGTCAAGAACAATTGAAAAAATATATACACACTTCAGGAAGGCTATTTCTTTAGATGAAAAACTCCTGATTACTATAAGGTAAGTAGCTATAAATATAATCAGCATTTTAAATAAAATGTAGACGTTTTATTTTCAATTTTTTTTTATTATTGAAACAGTTTTATTTTTACAGTTTTTTAAAAATTGTACCACTCAGTTCCACTTTCTTCTGGCATTTGGGTAATTGAATTGAATTTCGAAGTTGCTGCAATATTACGCATGTGAGTTTGAGTTTGTTCGGTGTCATGATGGATGACAAACTCCATACAGATGGGCTAGAAGCAACGGAAATGCTAGGTTCTACATTCTCTCGTTCATCTTCCTCTAACAACTTATGTAACAGAGACATTGTTTGTATTTTGAAAGTCCTCTCACGATGTAAACTAAGGTTTTTCAGATCAGGTAAAAGAGAAAGAAGGAAATGCTGTTCACCATCTTGATAATTTTTATTAACAGATTTTTTTCGTTTTTAACCATTTTATAAAAGCATCGTCGACTTGGTCTATTCCCTTTCGTTTTTTATATGTTTGTTTTGCGTTGTTATGAGCAGGTTTACCTATTAATTGCTCTGGAGAATCATTTTTCCATCATTTTGATTGGTATAGTACTCCTCTACTGCAGTATCTTGAACGTGAGTAAGATTTCTTGAGGTTTCTCCTCCTTTTAAAAATGGTTGCAGAAAAGCTAAATGTTTAGCCAAATAATAACTTTTCTTTGAATTTTGGCTAGCCCCAGACTTTGGCAGTTTCAGTGAGCGCACATATACTGTTCTGTTGTTTTTCCATCGCTCTCAACAGTTTTTTTTCTAAACCAAAATTTAAAATAAATTACATTTTAAAATGATGTCTATTAAAACAGAAACACATATATTATTACAACTATTTAAATCTTCCAACTAATATAACGTTTTTTTTTTCAGGTATCTACCTACTGGAAGCAGTTTTCAAGATCTTTCCTTGCAATTTTACAGAGGTAAATCAACCATCAGTTATCATGTTCATTCGACTTGTGATGCTATATGGTCCCACTTACAACCACAGTATACGGCTCAACCAACGGAGCAAACTTGGAAACAAATATCAAAACGTTATTATGAGTTATGGAATTTACCTAACTGCATTGGTTCTCTTGACGAAAAACATTTCCACATTCAGTGTCCACCTAATACAGGGGCATCATATTATAATTATAAAGGGTTCTTTTCAATTGTTCTGATGGCTTTATCTAACCCAGATAAAATGTTCACTGCAATAGATGTCGGAGACTGTGGACGGAATAGTGATGGTGTCGTTGAACATACCCAAAGCAACTCACTTGCCAGGCGAGGCAAATTATAATACTTTTCCATTCTACTTTGTAGCAGATGGCATAATATATTGCGGCCCTTTTCAAAAAGAGTATTAAATGCTGCCAAAAGAATACTCACTTTTCGACTTTCAAGAGGTACAAAAAGTGGAATCTAGTTTTGGAATACTAACTTCAAAATTTCGTCTATTTGATCGACTTATTTATACTAACACAAGTAATGCTGTGCAATCTATTTAGGCAGCATGCGTACTTTATAATTTTATACGCAGACGAGAAGGGTAACCTTATATTCCACAGCCCTTTAAGAAGTGTTGTATAGTACCAGCATTGCCAGATAACAGTACGTTTAGTGAAAACAGCAATTTGAATGCAGCAAACCTCTTACGAAATAAACTAGGTAAATACTTTTTAAAACCAGCTGGTGCAATCCCTACACAGTGAAAATGTGTCGGTTTACAAGATTCAGTTATTTAGTAGGTACGATGAATTTTTTAAATTTGTATAAAAATATTTACACTATGAGTTAACAATTTGATTACTGGCCTGTTTCACCTAATAAATAATAAATAAATAAATAAACAATGCATTTACCTGTATCTTTTATTTCTGATGCAATTTCCCTTCATGCAGTGCTCGTTACATTTGTCCTACTGTAAGCAGTAAGGGAATAGTTCCAGATGCTCTGACGAGCTTTCACTAAATTAATAAAAAGAATCACAGAACTGTCTTCTTTTCTTCTCGATATGCTAATAGTTTGAAATATCGTGTGAATAAGTGTACACCTACATTGGAACCGTATTTCTCCCGATCCGATATCGGGCGACGTCGCGTCGGCCGACGTCGTTGAAAACAAACTCAAGGTATTAAATCATAGTGCCTATACTGCTTCGGTGGCGAAGCAGTATAGGCACTCTGATTTAATACCTTGAGTATGTTTTTAATCCGACGTCGGCCGACGTCGCCAGATATCGGATCGGGAGAAATACGGTTCCAATGTAGGTGTACACTAAATCGCGAGGGCGACTGACACGTAGCACTTCGAACGATATATCACTTGCGATATGTTGTGCAATCGCGCGGAACTGAACCTTTTTTATCGTCTCTATTTAGATTTTAAGTATCTGTTTGTGCGTATCGCGTATCGCATATCGGTTACGATATATCGCTTATATTTTATCGCCCGAGTATGAACGCCGCCTAACAGATATTTTGTAGCATGAGTAATGCCTATATACATTTGCAGTTTTAATTGAAAAGTTAACTTTATCATTAATCATTATTGTAATTTAATGACAATATATTAATGTATCAGTTATTTGTTTTTGTTTGCACATATTTTTTTTTCTTGGCGAAATCCAGAATACAATAAAAATATTCCAAATTTTTGGAATAACTAATGTATGTATTTATTTAAAGTGATTAAATATAGACACATCCTGTGCAGTAACACTTTAAAATACCCTAAGAAATGTGACACTTTGACTCTGTTCATTATTTTTTTCAAATTTAGAAATCATTTCGTAATATTTTATTTAGAGTATTTAAAAAGTCAAATATCCTGTATATTTTATTTCTCTATTACTTTACGAAAATATGTTATTTGTGGTCCATAAAAAATTGATTTTATGATATCGTAAACATTATCCCGAAATAAACCATTCGGTGATTTATGTCGGTATCTCAGCGTTTCTTTTTTTGTTCGTCGGGAAAGAAAAAATCACCACGGATTATAGTTAAGGAGTGTGCCATTTCGGGATATTTGAATTCTCGTGTAGCTACGAGTATAATTCGGTATACTGAACACGTCCGCGGATCCCTTTCACCAGATTATACGCGCGAATATCTCTACTTCACTTCACTTATCTAGTTGGCAAGTCTATGCAGTTATCTTTCGTTTTGTTACAGGTCAAATACCCGATCCCGAGCCGGAGTTCTTGGCTCCCCTGGAGAATCACACCGTCACCCAGGGACGGGATGTCTATTTCACATGCGTTGTTAATCACTTAGGCTCTTACAAGGTAAATCCTTTACTATAAATCTTGTTCCTTGCCTAGAAATAACTACAATTTATATGCTCTGTCATTGATAAATATTGTTAGGACCAGACGCTCTACTACCACAACATTAATTAATGATTCAATTTGTGCTTTTTTTAGTTACTGAATGTTTCTTGCTAGTTCATCACAAAAAATAGCAATTGGATGTTTTATCGTAGCCCAAGATTGCTATGTTGAAAAGGTTAGAGGAGATATAGAATAATGTATTGCCTAAAAACTAAAAAGAGTATATTTGAATTATGCTGCCTGTCTTATTGGTAGTGATTGGTTATAAGATATATAACATGAGTAGTTATAGATAAAAGAAATCCACTTAGATTTTAGGAATAAGAATAGCCCAGGCTGTGGGGGAAAAGGGTGATTTTACACTGTAATCCAGGAGTTTATGTAATGTTGCCTAGGTTATAAAGGGCAACCTCAGGAGCAATCCCCCAGTTCATTCAACAAAAAATTTTTGGTTATTGTTTATTTATTTGCAAAATACATATTTTTTGAGGTTTTTTCATTTTTTGCCTAAAGTAAGTATTGTAACGGGTAATTTCTGTATAGATTATGAAATTACTTTAAAAGACCTTTAATTTGAGCCGTTATACGTTCAATTTAAATTTATTTGTTATTGCAAAAATGACGAATGGAGGTCAAGTCTATACGCCAATCAGTTCTATTCATTGCTAACTGTTGCCAGTATATATATATATATATATATATATATATATATATATATATAATATATAAATATATATATATTATAATAAATGCCATAAAGATAATAATTTCTCCTGATTATAATCATTGTTTTCATTTTTGTCAGCGAATATTGGAGGCTGTGGATTTACTAATACACAGCATATATGTATTATGTCATTAACTTTGTCAAATAAATATTCAGGTATTTTATCTAAAATTTTCCTTAGACGTTGCATTATTCTTTTAACATGTATCTTGACTTTAGCTATATTATAAGTTTGTTCAGTTTCTTCTTAAGAAAATTCTTTTTTCCTCCCCAAAAATGATAGCATAACAAGAAGAATTTTTTTGCCTTTACTATAAATCATAGTTTGAATATCTGGGAATCCTTCATCCAATACTACATCCTCTTCTTATAGTAAATCAATTAAACCTGATTCAATCGTTATTTGAGAATCACTTTTTTTACCACATGCTGCTGGTGACTTGACACAGATGAACCCGCCAGGAGTAATACCAATTAATACTTTGAGAGTAAACCCTTTTATGTAATGAGAATATCAATATACACGATCATCTACTGCAGTAGGTACATCAATTTTTAATTTAGTACAACCAATAATAACTCGTGTAGTGCTTTATTTTGATTTGAAGCAATCTGGCATTGTTACTCGGACACTTGATTTATCTGGCCACAAAACTAATGTTGCAATTACTTCAGCTAGATTATCTAAAGCTGAATATAAGATCCTGGATATTGTTGTTCGATGAATAGAAAACATTGAACTTATTGCTGCAAATGTTAAGGCAGTTTAATAAATAGCCTAATTTTTTTGGATATCTGAACATTTTTTAATACTTATTTTATTTATAAATAGTTAAAAGTATCAAAAGATACTCCAGCAAAATCTGTTAATTGTTATCACTTGTAACAGTTCCTCCCTTTGAAATGAATTTCATCAACATTAAATCCATTGTATGGAAAATCAGATCCAACTGCTGTATCCACAAGAACTTTTGATAGTGCACCACATTTTTTATGAATTTTGTTTTGCTATTTATTTGTAATTCACTTTGTGGTACATTAATTTCAGTTTGAGTTTCTGCTTCACAAGAATTAGGTCCGACAATAAATCTATTACAACACAAAATTTTCAACATCATTAATGTAAACTTGGCATGCTTGGTCACTTTTACTGCCACACGTCTAGCTACTGACTAATCTTGTATCGTACCACACACATTTTCACTTATTAAATTGGCTGCTATATCTGACTTGAAATGCAGTTCATTCACAGAACTGATGGGCTTATTATCTACAATTAATGGTCATCTTTTTTGTTGACAACGCTTTTTGAAACGCTCATGTCTATTTAGAGAAGCATTTTGAATTAATATACTAATAATTATTAATTTTGGTGAAAATATTATTGGTACATAATTCAGACGTAGATCACTTTCATCCTTTTTATCTCTAATAAAATGAACACTGCAGAGAAGTTGAGAAGGTGTAGGATTCGAATTAAAGTCATATCCACTTTAAAATACAACATAAATGAATAATTGCATATGATATCAATATTTTGGAACGATATTAATGCCCGATTTTATAATGACAAGCTAAAATACACTTTAACGAATGTTCATTTTAGATTAAATTGCATAATGTATCTTTTATCAATCCAAACCTTTAAAAGAAAAATACATCATACTGGCTTAAATAATTAATTATTTTTCTCTCAACTTTTGGGTGGCGTAATCCGAACTTAAAGAAATATTTAGCATTTTTTTGAGTTTGAAAAAAAATGTATTAAACTTAAACCAACATGATCATTATTAAAAGTTACACTATAAAATGAACTTTAATGTAATGCTCATGTCAAACATATTATGAAATCGGGCGTAGGAATGCAAAAGTTGGATTATGTTACTTTGCTTTATTATGATATAAATCTACTTTTCTCGTTGTATGAATTTGTTCTCAGAAATTGAAAACCGATAGAACTTGAATTTACTATTTTTTGTTGCATTTTTACAATTTATTACATATCATTTGCGAAATCCCATTTTCTTCAATAACTGCTTATAAAAAATGCTAACGTTTTGTTAGCTGCGAAAGTTGCAAGATTTCACCGCTGCACGCGCACGATCGTCGCTTGTATCCCCTCCAAGTACTTGCACACAGCGAATAAACATTTTGAGGACAAGCACTCTAACTATAATTATATTACATTTTCATAAATCTATTAATCCATCTGCATGAGCCAGTTTGTTAATTTGTCATTTTGTAATTAATAAATTTTAGAAGGTGTAATTTAGAGATTCGGTAAATAAATTTTAACGAAAATGATTTGCCAATTGATTAGAAAGAAGTAAATCAATCCTGGAAATAATACAAACCTTATCGAAGAAAGCCAAGTGGCAGAACCCTCTAGATTAAATTTAAATCGCTCGTTCAGCGATTTTACTCAATCATTCAATCTAAAATGTCTCGATAACTCACCGTGTTCAGTTTGAATCTGGCCTCAACAAACTCATATTTTTTGTTGGCTGAATCGTTGAGAAACAGTATGTGAGAATCACTACATATTTCACAGAAATAGTCTGGCTGAGAAGGGGTGTACCTGCGATTCGAAGGGCGGCTGAAATGTTTTTGTGCTGATTAAGAATCTGTTATTTGACCCTCGAGGAGCAATTTGTGGCTATAAAAAAAGTTTATTACTTGGATAGAACGTTGTTTGGATCAACAAAATTTATATTTGATGTCCTAAATAGAAACCTGCTGTCAAATATATTGTAATGGACCGAAACTGATTTCAATGGATTGGTATTAAGCTAAAGCTGTCACTTGATTCGACCATAAAAAAAATAGAATAGAAAAGCGGTATATTGATGAAAAGAATTAAATTATGGAAATTAGGAGGGATATAAAAACAAGCTCTTGTCCTCTTTCGTCACAATTTTGTCTGTATATGCTTTTTTTGTTTATAACTAATCGTACTATAGCTAATTCAGTTGTTATTTATCTATTATATGTTTACGTTCATAACTAGAGTTAAAGTTGATGTGAACACAAATTGTTTTACTCTTTGGTGTAAACAATTGTTTTGTAAAAAATAGACATCGGCTTTTGATAAAATTTTTAATTATTGTAAGTGATCTTTTTATTTATTTAATGAACGTAAAAGAGAACATTGCAAGATTATTATTAAAATATTGAATGCAATATCATTAGAAAAAAGTGCAGGGAGGCGAAAGAAAACTGGATGTTAACAAAATGTCTAGAAATCGAATAACTTCAGGAAAAATACGACACCTTTATTATTCATGAAAAAGGAAAAGAAATAACAGGTAGACACAAAAAGAAACAAGCAACAATATTAGAAAATTATAATAACGAAATAATTATGGGTACAGAAGACAAACTAGAGAGATGAAACGAATACAGCATACAAACTCTTTTTGACGACGATAGACCTTGTTCTCCTCCATCCACAGATAATCGAATAAATGAAAAAGGCCCAGAAATAACCAACGAAGAAATGATTTACGCAGTAAAATTTCAGAAAGATGGAAAAGCCACCGGTCCAGACAATATCAATGTCGAAATATTAAAACTAATTGCAGATAACGAAAGAAATATATAGAAATACAGAAATATAAGATATGTGACACAAATAAAATACCACCAGACTGGCTAAAATCAACATTCGTAGCAATACCAAAAAGATCGAATTCCTCACAATGCGATGATTATTGAATATTAAGCTTGATGTCTCAAGTCCTTAAAACTTTTCTTAGAATTATCCATACACGAATTTACAAGAAGTGTGAGTTCCAAATGAGTGACACTCAATTTGGATGTCGAAACGGATTGGGAACACTAGAGACTCTTTTTGCTTTAAATGTATTAACGCAATGATGCAGAGACATGAATGTAGATGTATATGCACGTTTTATTAACTATCGAAAAGCATTTGACTGCGTTAACCATCAAAAGATGATTGAAATTCTGAGAACTACTGGAGTTGACGAAAAAAATTTGTGAATTATCTCAGAACTATACTGGCACCAAACGGCAACAATTAAAATAGAGCAAACAATATGCGAAGATATACAAATCTGATAAGGAGTGAGACAGGGTTACGTCTTTTCACCGCTTCTTCTTCTTAAGGTGCCGTGCATTTCTGCGTAGGCGTCCACCGTACATCGTCTTGTCAGGTGAGATGTTAAATAGTCAGGATTAATTATTTATGTTTTTAGCAGCATTGCGA